CATATTACGGCTGTGAGCAACAAATATGACAAATCGGATGAACAGTATATATGAGAGCTATAGCTATATCTGAACCGATCTTCACCAAATTTGACATACTAGCTTCTAAACTCAGTGCGGTCTTAAGTTCCAAATTTCATCCAATTTGGGCAAATATTAGACGAATATATATATGGGAGCTATATCCAAATCTAAACCGATCTCGATAATATTTAGCAAATGTATTTCTGATCTGTATTTCATATATTTCCCTAAATATTGTTGTTACAGAGTGCATATTACGGCTGCGGAGGACAAAAATAACAAATCGGATGAACGATATATATGGGAGCTATAGCCATATCTGAACCGATTTCGATCAAATTTGGCACACTTATTTTCAGGTCAAATCTGACCGTACGTGCAAAAATCCATACTATTCGGACTGATATTACACGTTTGGTTCACAATAAAAGGCACATCGGACGAAGATATATATGGGAGCTATATCTAAATTTTGACCGATTATTTCCAATTTCAATAGAGTTCGTCCTTGGGCCAAACAAATGGTTTGTGCAAAATTTCATCTGGATAGGGCAATAAATGCGAACTGTACTTTGTTTACAAAAATACATGGACAGATGGACAGCCGGCGGACGGACGGACATGCATAAATCGACTCAGAATGTGATTCTATGCAGATCATCAAAAGGAACTATGTGTCTATCTCGTTTCCTTTTGCCTGTTACAAACAAATGCACAAAGACTGAGGGTATTATGTCTTTGTGCACCTTGTGGTGTAGGGTATAAAAAAAAAAAACAAGTAAGCATAGGCTATAGCCGTGCGGGGCTGACCATGTGATAATCTACAACACTACAATATGTTCGAAGTCCCCTTATATCCAAATCCGTTTTGAAAGATTTCGTTTTTAAAAAAATGTCAAAGAGCTCTGGGCAGAGTTTACCCTTAGGTTTTTGACCCGGAGAATTTGACCAATATTTACGCACTCCGTCGTGCTGTTAGTTATTATGGTCCATTTTGCAGCTAAATATAATCCAATTGTCATCCAAAGCGCTAGAATACTTCCCTGTCCTTAACTCTCTTCTGATGCGAAATTCCATGTCGATTAGTTTTCAATAGTGGCCAGCCATTCTTGAGATATAAGCACTCTGGCTAACATCCCCTTTCTTCGTATACACATTGTATATATTTCGTTATATATCCGATATATTTACTATAGGCATCTACGTAACGTCTATTTGTGTTTTCGTGGCGATAGAAAATATTCGCAGTTTAATGGAAACTTTGACTTTTCTTTCACACAAATGTTATGCTTTTTTGACCCTCGAAATATTATCCGGTGACCATCAAAATTGGAGGGCTTCTGCCCAGCCCTAAGCTATAGCCTCATGCTAACCGCTTCGATTGGTCTATAATTGCGACCTGTAGAACAACTGCAAAATCAGGGCATTTTTCAGTTTTTGTTCCTTTTCAACCCTTAAATATTATGCGATCATCTCCAAAAGCAATAGGCTTCTAATCTGGCCGTAGCCCCACCTCCATTCTAAATTTCGTGAAGATCGGGCCATAATTGCGACCTGTAGAGTAATTACAAATTAACATGGACATGGACGGACATACATAGCCAGGACTAAAAATATTCGCGGTTTAATGGGGAATTTGACTTTGAATTAACATAAATGTTATGGTCAATTTCACCCACTAAATATTACCCGTGACCATCAAAGTTGGAAGGCTTCTACTCAGCCCTAAGCTCTAGCCGTATGCTAACTATAATTACGACCTGTAGAACAACTGCAAAATCAGGACATTTTTCAGTTTTTGGTCCATTTCAAGCCTTAAATATTATGCGATCATCTTCAAAAGCTATAGGCTTCTATTCTGGCCGTAGCCCCACCTCCATTCTAAATTTCGTGAAGATCGGGCCATAATTGCGACCATTGCGAGATAGAAAGAACCGGAATGGTAATTCAGTTGTAACGGCATCATGACCAGTGACTCTAAAAGAGTTTTTTCTTTAGTAAAATCGAAGTGGGACGAATGAGATAATAAAGAACAAACATATATCAAATAATGATATATACTTAACGATATGGAATTATTCAAACAAGTTTTCATTTACAAGACGTTTTCATTTACAAGACGTAAGACGTTTTTTAACGGGTTTTTCAGGTTTTATTTATCATTCGATTTTTAGTGAGAGCCACAAATGTGCGGCATCAGGGTCAAAAATGTGGGCTGTTATTAAGTTTTTCAAGAACTAAACTTTTTTTCAGGAACTAAACGTGGACCTATTCAGAAAATGTTAAATTGTTGAAGCATTTAAAAGATTAAATATTCAAATGGCTCTTAAATTGTTCCAAGATATAAATTTTAATCATGCTCTGATTCATTTTTTACAATAACATAAAAGATGGTCAGTATATGTGAGTAAATCTTTGGTTTAAGAGCCAATGCTAGGGAAAAATGGACAATGCAACCTTCTCCTTTATCAAACATGTAATCTAATTTGGCTCAGTAACTTTGTCGTCCTCCATAGCTCATTGACTATTATTTGAATTTGCTGTTTGAGAAAAAAAAAAAAAAAAAAAAAAAACAAAAAAAATGTATATTTTTCCGTCAGGTAACGCAAAAAAATGTCATTCAGAATTTATCGATAATGGACTCTCTCTTGAAACTGACAGACTTCGTCTGTGATTCATGTATTGTGTGATCCGATTTAATTTGTTCTCTACTACTACTTGACCTTCTCCTGAGCTTATCTTTGTCACTTTTAACATAGGCTCTTCTGCCGTTTTAAAATCATTTCCTCTTTCTCTGAGCTGGAATATAGTGGGATTCGGAAAAGTTCGTCAAAAAACTAAAGAACTCAGAAGGAACCACTGGTGTGGATTTTAAGACAATTCCATTGAAAATTTTGGCTGTAATCATTAAAATATGGAATATCGGGGGGTACCGTTATATGGGGGCCATACGATATCGTGAACCTTTATAGACTATCACGTAGCACTGTTGGAAATATTAGAATTTGCAACGTTGAAGCAAAATTGGATTATCCTCTCTCTTTCTGTGCAGTAAAATATTTTTTTTTTTTAATTCGACAATTTTTACCGGATATATCAGAAAGAGTGCACCGATATTGCTTATCTCCGAAATCGCTATAAGTTTGATAATAATATTACAATGTACCAAGTTTGTACCAAATCGGATACTCTTTTCGGGAGTTATTATACCGGACGGACAGACATTGCTACATCGAATCCAAATATTTCGATGAGGCAAGTTTTGGCCGTATGAAATGATATATACTCTCTCTTGCCATGGTATGGTATAAAAACATCATTTTTGGTTGGTCGTCTTCCTGTTTTTGAAACGTATGAAAGCCTTCTCTTTCTCTCCCTCTATGTACTGGGTGCCTATAAATTACCTACAAAATAACTATAACAAGTTAAAAAGAAACTAATGCCTTTGATCATCCTCACTAATGCCTTTGATCATCCTCACCTAAAAAGTGCCTCTAAATAAAATATCGGGTGGTACAGTCAATGTAGACCTGTATAGGAAATTATCTGGTAGAGAATCAGGTACCTCCATATACCAATATTGAAACAATTCTGTGGAAAATGTGCCTAAAATCGGCAAAATACCGAATATCGAAAGATATCCGAATATTGGGGTTATAGGAAAATGTGGGCCGGTATAGGTGGTTTTCTGTCACAGGAATCCATTACGAACTTCATAATTCAAACATTTGCGTTGAAAATGTGGCATAAATCATCAAAATACCCAATATCGTTAGGTACATTTGTATGTGGGCTATATAAAAATCTGGACCCATGTAGATAATTTTCTGTCAGAGAAGATAGTACCTTTTGGCAACACAAATTCCAACTTTGAAATAACTCCGTTGTAGCTGAAATCATTAAAATATCTATACCTAAACGTGGATCTTCATGGGTAATTTTCTGTCGAGGACGTAGTACACATTACGAACATTAGACATTAGAACATTACCATATTAAAAAAAAACAAAACATTCCGGTGAAAAGTGTGACAAAAATCATCAAAAAGCCGAAAATCGGAACGGTAATTTATATTATGGGTCGATACCAGAACTTGGACTGCAAGGATCTTTCTAACCAACAGCGAAAACAATGTATACAATTGTTACTCAAACTTTTAAAACGGTATAGTTATATGGGGGCTAAGACTAAATATGGACCTATATGGCCCATTTTTGATAATTATTTTAATTCTGTGGATCTAAATAGAATTTCAGTAAAAGCTTGACATCCTACTTTTCTTTCATCCTACTTCACTTTCAGAACTTAGAGTACTTTCCACAGCCCTCTGTCTGACTGACGGAGAAACTGACATATGTACATGGCTAAATCGATTTAGAATCTAAAAATGATCAAGAATATATATTCCTTGTGCGGTCTGAAACTCTTTTTTCGGGGAGTCACAACAGGAATGACAACATTACTATATCATCCATAGAATGGTGAATGGTCTCTCTTTCTCTTCTCTCTTGATCTCCTCACACATCCAATCCAACTGGTTTCCTGTAAAAATGTTGATTTTTTAAAAATCTTTCTTTAAATGTGATTCCCTCTTCAAAGTGCGTTTTTGTAGGAAAGCCTATTCAGAGTTAGGATTTCTTTCTCAAAATTTTTTTATCAGTTTGTTTAAAGTTTTCCCATAGAGAATTCCACCTTCAGATCTCTATTATAAACAAACTCATCATCGAAGCACGCCTTAGGGCTGATCCCTAAAAATTCTCTCTTTAGAACTCGCTCTCTTAGAAGCCCTCTTCAGAGGGCTTTTTAGACTTCCTTTCCACATTACGCCTCTAATTGACTCAGGTTCAGGCCTTTCCAGATGTTGTCTTTTGGGATAGAATATCTATTCTAAGTTCAACACCAATAGGAGCTTTCCTCTGAGCCCATTTATAAAAGACTCTCTATACACTTTTAAGCTCATTTATAATATACACTAATAGACTTCCTTCTCATATTGATTTGTTTGAGTCGACTACAAGAGACTGCCTGGTATCGTTTTATATGAAAATCCTTTTGAGTTCTCTTCATATTCTCTTTTTGGTCTTAGATATAAAATCCCACTTTGACTCGCCTATAATATATTTAAAATCCTTTTTCGGGGCTCTTCTATAATATAATCCCTAGTTAGAGCCTTTACTCAATAAACAACCCCAAATTTTAAAGTTAACTACAGGAGCCTCCCCAATCCTTTATAATCAAATATATTGTACTCTTTAATGGATTTCTTCTAGAGCACGTCGGAGAAGATAAATAATACACATTCTAGAATATTTTATCTTATCTTCCACCCTTACAACTTGCAACATATTCCAAGTGGATAGACAATAGATTAATTCCATCTAAATTTAGTTTTTTTTTTGTTGTTTTGGTTTTTTCCTCTCAGTGTAAATATGTTGTATGTATACTAAATTAGTTTTTTTTTTAATATATAAAAAATGAGGTGTATGTACATAATATTTTGTTGTTGTTGTTGTAACAGTGCATTTGAGTTGTATGTGATGTTTGTTTTGTTGTGTAAATTTTTGAGAAAAAATGGAATTTAATTTTGTTTTTCTAAATTTTAAATGGAAAAAATGTTGACGCTTCTTGGGTATTTGATGTTGTCACTTTTGATTCACGTTTTGTTTTTGGTTCGAATTTTGATGCTCTAGTCGTATTTATCATTTGATTTTTTATGTATCTTCTTAAATGCTGCCATTCGTAAACTATCCGTACTGGCTTTGAACATGTGCGATACATTACGCATGGAACGTGTCGAGAGGTTGACAACATGTTGTGGCATAGCTGCGGCTGCATGGACCGCGGCGATGGTAGACGAGGCTACGGGTTTGCTGGAATAATCACTGGTACTGAGGAAATCACGTATGTTATCAGCGTCCTCGATGCTGGCCTGAGACTATGATGCTTTGATTTTCTTCTTGGGATTGCCACGCTGAGCATCGCTGACAGCCGTGGGCGGTAATTCTCGAAATTGGTTCTGTAAATATAAACATCATTTAGTTTCAGAAAATCGGTAAGGAATTCCAATAGCTCACAAGTTCTTCATCATCTGGTACCCTTGAGAGAAAGTCCAACAGCTCATTATTGGGTATGGTGTTCGGTCTCAATATTCTGCGGCTAAATTTCATTATGCCCCAGAAGAGTAGCAGGAAACGTATAGGTACAAAGTGTAAGACAATTATGGCACCAATTAGTAGAACCACTGCCAACCAGGTTAGTTCGGGGACGGAAAAATTAAAGGTACTAGAACAAAGGAAGGTAAAAAAGAGGTAAATATAATTTCATTACTATTTTTTATTTCACTCTCGAAACGAGTGGTTTTTTAATGAGCTTTGTTGTAGAAAAAGTTCCACCTACTTCTTGGTACTCTCTCCCAGCGACGCCAAATAGCCAATTGTATTCTGTACAGTTTGTGAGACTTCCTGTATGGCCTGCAAACGTTCCTTTATAGATTTCTTTTCCTCCTTCTCTTTGTCGTCATCATCATCCTCATCGTAGTCATAATCATAACTACCGCTTGTTGAATCCGATTGTCCCGTAATTAAACGGACCAGCCAATTTCTGTAACAAATATTGAGATTTTAAAACAAATTTATTAATTTTTAATTTGAGTCCTTTCTTACTTGAGTATTATGAGAAGAATAACCAGCGGCACCGTCTCCAAATTTCCATAAATGCAAGCTACAATCCACAAAGTAAATGCTATAACTGATCTAAGGGGACTTTCCCATTCAAAGCAGCTCCTGAAATTACATTTGAAAAAAAAAAATGTAAAAATGGAAAGGTATAAGGGAATTGAAGCAATTAATTATGCCGAAAAAATATTGAAAGAAAGAGTCTTGTATAGACGATTTTAAAGCTTTGAACAAGTCAAAAAGCAGTAAGTTCGGCCAGAACGGTTGGTATTGTATCTAAAATCGTCAAAAATACCGAATATAGGGAGTAACTGATATATGGGGCCTATACGAAGACCTGGACCCGCACAGACAATTTTCTGTCACAGACTGTAGTTCCCATAACGAACTTCAAATACCAATTTTGAAACAATTCCGGTGAATAATGTCGCTAAAATCATCAAAATACCGAATATAGGGAGGTACTGTTATTGGGGGGCTATATGAAGACGTGGACCTGCACAGAAAATTTTCTGTCTTAGGATGTAGTATCCATTTTGAACTTCAAATACCAAATTTGAAACAATTCCCGTGAATAATGTCGCTAAAATCATCAAAATACCGAATATCGGGAGGTACCGTTATATGGGGGCTATATGAAAACGTGGACCTACATGGCCCATTTACGAACTTAACCTGCCTACTGGAAAAATAAACATGTGTGCAAAATTTTAGCCATCTATCTCAATTCATTCGAAAGATAGCGAGATTACAACAGACAGACAGACGGACAGACAGACAGACCGAAACCCGCGTCGCAGTGGCAGAAAAATGGCTCGTGCGCTGAACATATCGCAATATTTCATTCGGCAACAGAAAGAAAATAGACTCAAAAGAGCTAAAGAGTTGCTTCGCTTGGCCAAAACTGCTGAAATGCCGAATTTGGTTTTCTCCGATTAGAAAACATTCGTTGTCCAGCAGTTTGTAAACAAACAAAATGGTCGTGTTTACTTCCCAAAGAGGTCAGCTGAAAATGTGCACCTTCGGTTGGCCACCAGAACTCAAGTGCAGGCCATGGTGGTTTTGTGTGCCGTCATAAAAGCCGATTGTCGCTCTCCGCTCGTATTAATCGAATAAATGCTGAATATTATCGCGAAAATATTTTGGAGGGTGTAGAAGCTTTGGCACGCAAACTTTTTGGCCGCAGACCTTGGACATTCCAACATGACTCAGCAACATCGCACTCAGCACACGCCACCCAAAAATGATTACAGAATGAGGTTTCACACTTCATTTCCAGCGACAGACGAACTTGAAAAGCTAATTTTAAAAGCTTTTAAAATACATCTGCTAATAAAAACCTTTCAAAGCTCTTCTATAGATGTCAGACCCTTGAATCTTTTCTTTATACCCACAGTCATATGCCTAGAGAGGGTATATACTATTTGATAAGACCAAAACGTGCCTCATCGAAATAACGGTTTTAGATCCTAGGTTTCATTGTACTAAAACAGTTTCAGAACATTTGGAGTTGATCTAGTGGTGTCCGTCCGTCTGTCTGTCTGGCTGGCAGGTACGCAAGAAAACACTCGTATGGAGTATCCGATTCGGTAGAAACTTGGTACATGGTAATATTTTTATCAAACTTAGATCGAGTTCGGTTCCTCCCCCATAAAAGGTCGAAATAAAAAAAATATATATTTTACTGCACAAAAAGAGAAAGGATAATCCTATTTTGCTCTAACTTTGCCGATCCTAATATTTGCATCAGTCCAAGGTCAGCTTCGAAAAGCGTCAACATTTTGAATAATTATAACTTTTATAAAATGTGATGTAAAAGTCCGATTGTCTGCAAATTGCACACATCACAATATTTTTATTAATCCCAGGTCTGGCGTAAAGTTGGAATATATCGGTCCACTCCTTCTGGTACCTTCCCCACAAATGGTCGAAATTTTCAAAAATATATATTCTCCACAGAAAGGGAAGCAATAATTCTATTTTGCTCTAACTTTGCCAATCCTAATATTTGCATCAGTTCTAGTTCAGGTGCAAAATGTATAATATCGGTCCACTCCATCCAGTAACTCGCCCACAAAGAGTCAAGATTTTGAATAATTTTAACTCTTATAAAATGTAATGTAAGAGTCCGATTGTCTTCAAGTTTCACACATCCTAATATTTTTATGAACTCAAGATCTGGTATTGATACCGAATTTATAGGACCACTCCTTCTGGTACCTCCCCCACAAAAGGTCGAAAATTTGAATATCCATTAAGCTCATAAAAACGAAATTAACATCCGATTCCATTTAGACTTGACACATTTGAGTATTTCTATAATTTCTGTTATAAAGAAGGTAGAGGTCGGACCATTCCTTCTGGTACCTCCCCCACAAAAGTCAAACTTTTGAATAAGCAAAACGTTTATAAAATCCGAAATAAGCATCAGGTTCTCTTAGTATTTTACACATATAAAAATTTTTGCTAACACAAGATCTGTTCTGAAGATGAGATATAACGGTCCTCTCCTTCTGGTACCTTCCCCACAAAGGCTCAAAATTTTGAATATCCATGAATCTCATAAAAAGCGAAATCAACATCCAATTCCAATCCAGACTTGAAAATATCAATATTTCCATCAACACAAGATCTGTTAAGAAAGATGGTACAGATCGGACAATTTCTTTTGCTACTTGTCCACATAGGGTTCAAGATTTAAAAAAAAAACGCTCAAAGAAGGCAAAATACGCACTCTCTTCAAATTTCACACACACAAACATTTTATGTTGTAAAGACGGTATATACTTGCGAACCCCTTCTGGTACCTCACCCACAATGGGTCACAATTTTCAATACTTTTATCTGTCATAAATTGCGAAACAACTCAGCGATTTTTTTACTACTTGCTATATCTAAATATATGTCCCTCAACCAGAAAACTGAGAGGGATATGGAATTTATGATTTCCAATAAAATTTAATATAATTGTTCGATTTTCTTGTAATTGTGCCCACACCAATACGGTTATCGGTATTAGGTGAAGTATGGAAATGGAATACTCGGGTGGACTATACCTGGTACCTCACTTCACTCACATTTTAGGATTTTCGAAAAATTATCACATATCTCATATAAAGTGAAGGAAATAACAAATTTAGTCCAAACCTGGCACGACGCAATATTTATATCATATTTATTTAAGTCGGATACGAAATGGACAATATTGGCCCATTCTTTCCATAGAGGGTCAAGATTTGAAGAATCATAACAGAAGTCAAAATATTTTTAAATAATTGAACATTGGCTGAGGGTATTCATCTGTCAGCAAAACCGACGAACTTCAAAGCTCGTCTACGGTAAGGTTATGCCATATTAATAAAACCTGCTATGAAGAAAGGAGACTTTTCTGTGATAGGAAAAATTTATATATCTCTTCTATACATTGCGAGACTTGGCAAACTAGCTGTATATATAATAACTTTTAATTCGACGTAGGTAAAACTTAGTCGGGGGTTTATTGAAGAAGAGGGCTTTGTAATAAATACGATACGATATGTCTACTTACTGTACATATCGCGCAGCATCGAGTATATTCATAATTATCACTTTCAGTCTATTAACATTTCGTAAAAATAATTGTCTTTTAAACTTGGCCTCCTGTTGGATTAATTTCTCCTCTTTTGGTTGCAGGACACGACAGACCGCTCTCACTTCATTCCATACCACGTGCATCTCTAGGAGAATCTATAAATTCGATTTATTTAATTTTCATATTTTTGAAAGCAGATTGTATTTGAAATACCTGTGGCGATAGACCTTTGGCCCGCGAACAGAGATTTTTGTCTTTCAGAGTATACCAACGCTTGACACCATTTTTAATGCGCAGCAGGGGTATTACTAATTTCCCCAGGAACTCCACACGATGGTCGCGATCTTCATCGTAAACTGTGATTTCCAGAACTTGCGTTATGTCTTTGACATTGCTACGAAAAATAGAAGAAAAGATATCAAATAAAATGTAAAGCTATAGAGTAGAGTTGTAGACCAAAATCAAAGCCATGCGGAATTTATACCCTTGAGGCTATTACTTTCTCAAATGTAAATCTAATTTCCCATAAATAGTTCCAATTATCTTAATATGTTAAATAGGAAAAAAACCATTAACTTACAATGTAAAAATCTTATTCCACGTTGGCGTTAAAGTCTTATATTCCGTCTGTGTTTGTAAGCGGGCATTTCCCAATTCTAGCACACAAAAGGGATCAGATTTCCCACCAATATCGGCTGCGGCTAGACCCTGAGCCCCGAACACCTTCACCGTCAAGTGGCCGACGTCGCGTAGATTTTGAAAGCAACGATGCCAACGATAACGTTCGGTCATTGCTTTCAACTCGTGTGGATCCTCCTTGAACGCCTTCAAATCGCTGATTGTTTCGAGAGCCGTTGTTCCGCTTATGGTCAACATGAGGAATACCTCACCGGGACAGTCTTCAAATTGTTTCCAAATGCCATGGGTATTTTCTCGCTCGAATACACTTAAATCTATGGAAGCTTTGCCGAATAGGGTATTACGATTCCATAATGATATTTCCAGCTGCTGTTCCTCTTCGAACAGATGCAGGTCGAATTGTTCCAGCCATCGTTCCGTCCATGATGATTTACTTTTGTATTTTTCGTTTCCAAGTCTGAAGAAAATTACATCAAAATAAAAAGGATAAAATTTAATTTGTTAGGAATAAAAATAAGTTATTCCTGTAAGATGGCAGATCCAAAATCATATACAGGGTGAGATGAAAAAACTGCAATCAACTTCAGACTGCTGCCACTCGTCCGACAGATGTTAAAATTATTCTAGTGACAGCTCATTGTATTGTTTATAAGCGTCAAAAATCATTTTGGTGAGACTTTTCCAGAAAAAAGTTATTCGTGATGGAATTCTAGCGTGATAGTGTAATTTCTTTATATTTGGCTGGAAAACCACAAGTGGCAATCGTTAGAGCACTGCAGCATTTAAATGTGAATGAATCTTTTGTGTCTCGTACCATTGCTGGAACTGGACGAAAAAAAAACAGCAAAATGAACAGAAATGGTTCGAAACATAAATGAACGACCTGATTGAAACCCGCGTTGCAGTGGCCGAAAAATGGCTCGTGAGCTGAACATATCGCAATATTCCATTCGGCAAATATTGAAAAATGAGTTCGGGGTAAAGCCATTGAAATTCCAAAAAGTGCAAGAACTTACACCGCAACAGAAAGAAAACAAACTCAAAACAGCGAAAGAGTTGCTTCGCTTGGCCGAAAGTGGTGAACTGCCGAATTTGGTTTTCTTCGATGATTCGACATTCGTTGTCTAACAGTTTGTAAACAAACAAAATGATCGTGTTTACTTGCCAAAGAGGTCAGCTGAAAATGTACACCTTCGGTTGGCCACCAGAACTCTAGCGCCGGCTATGATGTGGGCCGCCATAACAGCCGATGGTCTCTTTCCGCTCGTATTAATCGACCATGGCATCAGAATAAATGCCGAATATTATCACGAAAATATTCTGTAGGGTGTATTGAAGCCTTGGGTAAGCAAACATTTTGACCGCAGATCTTGCAAATTTCGACAGGACTCAGCACCATCGCACTCAGCACGCGCCACCCAAGAATGGTTACAAAATGAGGTTCCTCGTTTCATTTTCAGCGCACAATGGCCACCAAAATCTCCGGATACCAATCCTTTGGACTATTGTGTCTGGAGTATTTTGGAAAGCAAGGTTGGCACTAAAAAGTATCAAAGTGTCGATCACCTCAGGCAAGCCCTCCGCCGGGAATGGTCCAAAATACCGCAGAGCAACATTCATGCAGCGTGTTACGGTTTCATTGGCCGTTTGGTGGCCATAATTCGTTCCAAATACGAACAAATCTAAACTTATTCTAAAATTTGATGCTATTTCCGACATTTTATGCTTTTATTCAATAAGATTAGAAAAAAAAATTAAAAATGATTCCGTTTGACTCTGTTGCATTTTTATACCCTACACCACATAGTGGTAAGGGTATTATGTCTTTGTGCATTTGTTTGTAACATGGAGAAGGAAGCGAGTAAGACCCATAGTTACTTTTGAGGATCTCCATAGAATCACTTTCTGAGTTGATTTATGCATGTCAGTCCGTCTGTTCGTCTGTCCGTCTGTCCATATATTCTTGTGAACAAAATGCAGGTCGCATTCATTATCCGATTGAGATGAAATTTGCAAAACAACATTTGTTTGGCCCAAGGACGAACTCTATTGAAATTGGAGATAATCGGTAAAAATTTAGATATAGCTCCCATATATATCTTCGTCCGATATTGTGCACCAAACGTGTAATATCAGCCCGAATAGTATGGAATTTTGCACATACAACCAATTTAGGCCTGCAAATATGTATGCCAAATTTGATCGAAATCGGTTCAGATATAGCTATAGCTCCCATATATATTGTTCATCCGATTTGTTATTTTTGTCTTCCGCAGCCGTAATATGCACTCTGTAACAACGATATTTGGGGAAATATATCAAATGCAGCTCAGAAGTACTTTTGCTAAATTTTATCGAAATCGGTTCAGATTTGGATATAGCTTCCATATATAACTTCGTCCGATTTACTTTTTATTGTACACCAAACGTCTAATATTTGCCCAAATGGGATAGAATATGGCACATGCAACCAAATCGAGTCTAGAAGCTAGAATGCCAAATTTGGTGATCGGTTTATATATAGCTATAGCTTCCATATATATTGTTCATCCGATTTGTTGTGTTTGTTACCCACAGCCGTAATATGCACTCCGTAACAACGATATTTAGGGAAATATATCAAATACAGCTCAGAAATATCTTTGCCCAATTTTATCGAGATCGGTTCAGATTTGGATATAGCTCCCATATATATCAGATGGGCAATACAAGTCCGAATTTAAAAGATACAAATGCTTCGGCATATTTAGTCCTTTGAACTTTATATTATAATTATAATCATAGGGTGTATGATTGAATTCTCCCATAAAAACTTTTAATTGTTATGTGGAGCTCTACTAAACTAGCAAAGTGGTGTAGGATATCGTAAAGTCGGCCCCGCCCGACATTGTTAACAACTATGTCGTGAAATATAAAAATATAAAACTTAAATAGCAGAAAAATGAATAAATTGTTTTCGAAGTCGAGTGACTTCACTAGCCCTGAGTGACTTGACTGGCCCAAGGTCAACAATAGTGAAATCTGCCGGAAGGGGAAATTTTAAAACTTTTTAGTCTATACCTTTATTTGTCTATGATAATATCATAGACAAATTAATGTATAGACCAAAAAGTTGTCTCATCTGTTATCTCCGAAGAAAAGTGCTTCAATAGATGTCGTTCATGCTGTGAGAGAGCATAAGTCTATTCTCTCAATTCTCTCAAAATACAAAATATTGAATATTTTTATGATTTATTATTATTTATCAATTCAAAATGAAATAGTGACTTTGTTTACATTTACATTATTCGTCTATTTCGTGAAATATTAAATATTTCGAAATGTCGAAAATTGTTTTCGAAGTCGAGTAACTTAACTAGCCCTGAGTGACTTGACTGGCCCAAGGTCAACAATAGTGACATCGGCCGGAAGGGGAAATTTTAAAACTTCTTATGATAATATCCTAGACTTGAGGAAAACTCTACTAATATAATGCAATTAAAAGTGATTCTGAATGAGAGTCACTTCTAATGGCATTCAGAATCACTTCTGAGGGCAGTTTGTTAGTAGAAATTTCTTGAAGTCTAACCAGATATGATATTATCCTATTATTATCTTAGAGAACTCTCTTGAAAAAGTTAGAAAGTTACTCAAACTTAATAAAACATTTTTCAAAGGCCATCTGTTGAAGGCGATTTTCCTCTGTAAAAAAAAAATTAATTCCTTCAGATCTTCTGTAGACCTTCCTATAGATAAGATACCTTTTATATGTCATTGAGCGGTTTCTTGTTAGCGATGCTTCAAAAATTTTCTTAGCTCTCTGATGTTAATTTTCTGGCAACAAGTGAATCGATACGAATGAAAGAATCTATTTAGGAAACACATTTTGTTAATATTTTACAAACTATTAATACTTTTAATATTCTCCCATAAGTTTATTTTTTCCCACCAAACACGGAACTATTGTTGCTATTATTTACATTGACATCTCACTACAACAATAACTAACTCTATGACAAAGTCTAACTTACTTACCTAAATTTGATGTGGGCATCATTTAATTTATTGCCATCCTCTGCCAGCGGCAAACCTTTGGCTTTAACCAGCAATATCGTGACAACTGAACTCCAGATTTGAGACTTTAAACGTTTCGATGATTCAGCCAATTTTGAATTTCGCTGGAAATGCTGGAAACGTGAAAATAAGCGGAGAGAATAGATTATTTATTATGTGTAATGTGGGAAATGTAACAATTAGTTAGCACGGCATGATTCAATTCGAAGCTTCCTTCTCCGTAAACCACAAAAAATTTCAAGTTCATCGATAATGGTTTTGGAACTGAGTCATATAAACACAAGAAACTGATTGCAATACGAAATTCAATATTCAATTTTCTTTTCTTTTTTGTTTTGTTTTGCACTCCCTACTAACATCACAAAAATCCTCCAATTCGTTGTGTAAATTTTCCGTCCATTGTTGCTGGGTTTTGCGCCAACGTTTCATCAATGCAATTTTATTCGCCAGACATTTACTGCCATTGATATTAAAAGTGTAGTTTTTCATGATTTTGATTTAATTTCCGCTTTCAAAATATTGACAACATTTCAGCGCCAGTCAAATTGCACTCTGTCGCTCCGTCTATCTGTCTGTCTGTCTGTGTGTTTGTTTTCTAGTAAGCGGCGGTCTGTTTGTGAAGCCCCCAAACACTTTGCCCTGTTCGACGATGCGAATTGAAACAACGACTGACTAAATGAAGTTCGCTTGTGTTTTATTGTACTTTGTGGCTAGACTTAGAAGAAAGAGCTAGTAAATATTTGGAAAACAAAAGTTTCATAAAATTAATACACTGAGAGAAAATATTAAAAATCTGATGAGAATCGAAAAACGCCAAAAAATTATAGAATTTTGAAGAGAAATATAACAAAACGTGCAATAAAAAAATGTAATAAAATCGATATCTGACAAGTGGAAAAGTGGAAATATTTTCTCTGTTCCAGAACCTGCAAGATTTTACTAGTTTTAATTTTTTTTTCGATATTATAAGCGGTGTCGTTTAAAAAAAATATTACATCCTGACAGTTCTGGAATAGACCGATTATTTTATATTTTAGGATAATTTATATCACTTTATCGAAATTTCCATAAACAAGTCAAAAAGTATCAGTCGGTTCTGCCGACAGACATATATATAGACATATTAGTAGAAATAATGATATTATGTGTGAAATATAAAGAGAATCTGATGCTTATTTTGGATTTTATAAACCAGAAGGAATGGACCGATCTCTACCGCCATTATAACCGATTTTTTGTGGAGGAGGTACCGTGCCGAATACCAGACCTTGGGTTAATAAAATTATTTATAGGGTAAGCCGATATTGTCCGTTTTCGCACCTGACCTAGCACTGACGCAGATATTAGGAATTGCAAAATTGGAGCAAAATGGGATTATCCTTTTTCTTTCTTGCAAAAAAAAATATATATTTCTGGAAAATTTCGACCTTTTGTGGGGGAGGTATCAGAAGTAGTGGACCTATATTGCTCATCTCCGAACTCGATCTAAGTTTGACAAAAATATTACGATGTACCAAGTTTGGAACAAATCGGATACTCACTCTTGCGCATCAGCCAGCCAGTTAGTCAGACAAACGGACGGACGGACATCACTTCATCGACTCCAAATGTCCTGAAATGGATTTGGTCCAAAAAGACCTAGAGTCCAAAACCGTTATTTCGACTAGGCACGTTTTGATCGTATCAAATGATATATACCCTCTCTAGCCATATGGCTGAGGGCATAAAAACTACACCGACATAGTATTTTAGCAGATAAAAAGGTTAAGCTAACCAGATTATTTGCAATCAAATCGAGAATGATATTCACAGTCAAGAAGCTCAATTCAAGCAGACTCATTACTTAGGGTCTTTTGATACGGTCAAAACGTGCCTAGTCGAAATAACGGTTTTAGATCCTAGGTCTCTGTGGACCAAATCCGTTTCAGATCATTTGGAGTCGATCTAGCGATGTCCGTCCGTCTGTCTGTCTGACTGCTGGTGCGCACTATAACTCTCGAAAGGAGTATCCGATTTGGCCCAAACTTGGTACATCGTAATATTTTTGTCAAACTTAGATCGGGTTCGGAGATGGGCAATATCGGTCCACTCCTTTTGGTACCTCCCCCATAAAAGGTCGAAATTTTAAAAACTTAATTTTTTTTCTCATAAAATGTGATATAAGAGTCCGATTGTCTTCAAATTTCACACATCCCAACATTTATGTTAACCCAAGATCTGGTATTAAGATAGAATATATCGGTATCCTTCTGGTACCTCCCCCACAAATGGTCGAAATTTCTGCACAGAAAAAGAATTGATAATCCGATTTTGTTCTTACTTTGCAAATCCTGATATTTGCGTCAGTTCTAGGTCAGGTGCAAAAATGGATAATATCCTTCCATTCCATCAAGTACCTTCCGAAAAACGTCGAACTTATGAATATCCATTATGCCCTGAAAACACTAAATTAACATCCGATTCCATTCAGACACATCATCAATATTTTCATAAACACAAGACCTTTTATAAAGATGGTAGAGATCGGACCATTCGTTCTGGTACCTCCCACACAAAGGGTCTAAGTTTTGAATAACCAAAACTAGCAAAGAATCCAAAATAAACATCCGGTTCTCTTCTTATTACACACGTCCCTTTGTTTCTACTTACTCAAGATCTGGTGTGAAGATAGGATGTATCGGTCCACTCCTTTTGGTACCTCCCCCACAAAGGGTCAACATTTTGAGCATCCATGAAGCTCATAAAACGCAAAATTAACATCCGATTCCATTCAGACTTGGTGCGTCTGAATATTTTCATCAACACAATATCAGCTATAAAGATGGTAGATATCGGACAATTTCTTCTGGTACCTCCCCCACATAGGGTTCAAGATTTTAAAAAACAAAACGCTCAAGGAATTCGAAAGAAGCATCCAAATATATCCATTAATCTCCTCAAATTTCCCACATACAAACCTTATTGCTAACGCAATATCTGTTGTGAAGATCATATACATCTGCCAATCCCTTCTGGTACCTCACCCACAAAGCGTAACAATTTCCAATGCTTTTATCTGTCATAACTTGGGAAACAAGTCGTTGATTCTTTACAACTTGTTATATCTAAATATTTCTCTTAACCAGTATTCTGATATGAATATGTAATTTGTCGGAATTTATGATTTATGATTCGGACCGCTATATCTGTTACCTGACGCATATTTCCATTTTTCGAAAATTTTCACGTTCATAACTCAAGGCTGGGGGTATATATCTGTCGGCAAAAACGACTGATACTATTTAACTTGTTTTTGTCTTTCTTTCAGTGTATTTTAACGTAATTGAGTTTAACGCCAATTGTCAGTCAAGTTACTCAGTCAATAGAGCAGAGAAAGTAAGCTGAGTCATGTCAAGCGCTGCAGTGTGGGGTTTAAGCTTTACAATGTGAAGTAACTCATTGGGTGCTTGCTATCGCTGTGTATTGCTCTGCTTGTGTGTGGTTTAGGCCACAGCTTTTGTTTTTATCAAAGAAACATTCATTCTGCTTGTAAACATTCGGATAGCTGAAAATATAAACAATTGCACCAAATATGCCCAGCCTAGCCTAATTTGTAAGCTTTGTCGGAAGGTGAACAAAACAATTAGATTAAGTTTTTAATTCCATTTTGTAACATATCGAAATACTCGCCAGAGACGTTTTTTGATATGTATAATCTTGATTGGAATAAAATTCTAAGCCAAACTGGGTCTATCTGTCAGTCAGTCTCTTGAAATCACGTTACATCCCACAATATACATTAGAGAGATTTCAAAATTTACACAGACATTAATGTGGCCACTAGCCTTTTTGGTACTGAATGTCGGACTATAATGATCCACGTTTAGGTATAGCTTCCATGAAAAGTTCTTAATGTGTGAAATCTATTTCTGTTATTAAATATTTTGAAGGGTTGTGGCGAGTTGGAACTTCAGATTAATAAACCATAATTTTTTGTTTTTTTTTTGATCATTTTCAAATTTGCTCTAGGGTTTTGGCATAGCTTCACAATAACGGTATTGCCCTATATAATTTTAAAATAAATTTTCACTCCCCAGTGTGGTCAAAACTTCGATCAAAAACAATTATACGTTTTCACTTGTTAAATTCTTTAAAAAAAATTGTTGGTAACTCTGGAAATAAAATCACAAGTGAATTTAGAATTGTTGAGCTACTAAAACGTAGCATATGTTAAGGCTTTTGTTTTTTTACTTTAGTGCAATTTATTTTTGTTGTTAATAGACCTTGTTATCTTCTACGAGAAGATTTTTGGCCCTTCTACGAGAGGACTTTGAGCCTACTACGAGAAGTTCTTGGGCCTTCTACTAGAAGACCTTATGCTCTTCTATGAGAAGACCTTGTGCTCGTCAACGAGAATATCTTGTTGTATTTAACGAAAAGATTTTGTTGTCTTCAACGATGTGACTTTGTAGTCTTCTATCAGAATACCGGCTGATCTTCTCTGAGAAGACCAGCTGATTTTCTCTGAGAAGACCTGCTGATCTTCTTTGAGGAGACCGGCTGATCTTCTGTGAGAAGGCCTTCTGCTCTTCTCTGAGAAGACCGTCTGCTTTTCTCCTAGAAGACCTTCTGCATAGACAAATGAAAATATAGACAACGAAATGCTCTCACCGATTATCTTCGAAAAAAATCGAATCAGCAGATGTCGTCTATATCGTTTTAGGGGTTTGAGTGGGAATATTGAAGTCACTTAATTCTAAAACGTTAAAAATAACAAAAACTGTAGGATATTTGTCAGTTGAAAATTATTTCATAATAAAAAAAATGTGAAAAGTACGTGATGACATCGAAAAATATGGGAATATTCCAGTGAAATTCTTGAAAAACGATAAAATGTGTTTTCGAAGTCGAGTGGCTTGAACGCGTAAATCAGCATGTTGGCTATGCAAAACATGATGAGAGCCACCTGAAAAAAAAAAAAAACTAAACTAACTTTTCGTTGTCTATATCTTCATTTGTCTATGCCTTCTGCTTTTCTCTGAGAGCACTCTCTGCTCTTCTCTGTGAACACTCTCTGCTCTTCTCTAATAATACCTTCTCCTGAAGTTCTCTAAGAAGACCTTCTCCTGAAGGTCTCTATGAAGACCTTCTGTTGAAGGCCTCTAAGAAGACCTTCTGTTCTTCCCTAAGAAGACCTTCTGCTCTTCTCTAAGAAGACCTTCCTGCCTTCTCTGGTAAGACCTTCTGCTCTTCTCCAAGAAGACCTTCTGCTCTTCTCCAAGAAGACCTTCTGCTTCTCCGAGAAGACCTTCTGCTCTTCTCTAAGAAGACCTTCGGCTCTTCTCCTAGAAAACCTTCGGCTCTTCTCCTAGAAGACCTTCGGCTCTTCTCCTAGAAGACCTTCGGCTCTTCTCCTAGAAGACCTTCGGCTCTTCTCCTAGAAGACCTTCTGCTCTTCTCTGAGAAGACCTTCAGCTCTTCTCCTAGAATACCTTATGCTCTTCTCCGAGCAGACCTTCTGCTCTTCTCTGAGAAGACTTTCTGCTCTTTTCTGAGAAGAACTTCTTCTCTTCTTTGAGAAGGTTCTCTGTTCTTTTATCATAAGAGTTTTTTCTTCTTGAATAGATCTTCCATAGATAGAACTTTTGATCTCTCAATTAATAGGTTTCAAGTCGTTAATACGAAGGTCTTCTGTCAGAAGACATTCTTCTGGCTTCTTCGTGTTTCCTCTCTATTTAAAATCCACTCATACAATATTAATTTAGTGCAACAATTTTTAGAGTTCCAATCCTTATCCTTCATTTACTTTACAACCATTTTTATCTTTATGGCTGGTCGTTACTGACAGTTTAAAAAGCTGTCATTGTCAACACCATTATCATGAATTTTGCACACTGTCCGTGTGTCAGTTTGGGCGACCAAAAGCAGGACAATGACATTTTCACACACTACAAAATTGTGCTCAGACAACATGACAGTTGGTGGCGGTTAGAAACAACTGAGCAAGGAGCGGCAATGATTCCAGACGATATCATTAATCACACTGCAGACGGAAAAAGTCCGTCCCCAAAGCAAACAGACAAACAATACAAGATGATGATGAGAAAATCTTTCACCGGCCCCTAAAGAGGACAAGTTTTAAGTAGCCCATAAGAAAAAGACACAAATTGGATTGGGCCTAAAAAAAAGGACAAAAAAAAAACAAATATATTCGGCACCAAGTTTATTTTTCACATTTATTTGTTTTTCTTCCTAAATTGTTGACTGTCATAAATAATTGCCCAAAAGGGAGAAGAAACGTCAAGACCAATCAAACATATCCCAAAACGAATTGGAAATATTTCCGTTTAATATGATGACGGAAGATGGGAGAAATAAATGATTTATTTATATGTCCAATCTTTCCAGAAGAAGAAAAATATGAAGCGGCTTGGTACTGGTGGATAACCCCATAAAAGATGTCCGACACACATATTCCTTCCTCCATTAAATATGGCCATATATTTTTCCGTTGATGTTTATTCAAAGTTAATAGGCAAATTTATAACATTATTTATGTAAAAGACGTCGGCAAATTTATTTATTGCTTCGGCCATAAAGCTCATTGGCATAACTTAATTTTGTTTATGGGAGAAAAAAATGTATGACCAGATATTTCATTTTTTTTTCACTCACCTGCTCTTTGTCCTCTTGACTGCGCGGCCACAGAGTTAAATTCACCAGAATTTCGCCCATTGGCCGGTCGGGGTGGTTGACATCGTGCAGCGCCAAATTGACATCTTCAGCAATGCCTAATTCCAGTTGTGTCAAATCGATTTTTGCCGAGCCCATGAAATCGTCCTGCAGGCCCCAGTCGTAGTCGAATACCTTTAAGAGAGGGGAATGAAAATAGGGTGCTTGAAGGTGGTTTAAAAGTTAAAATGAATGGTATTTAAAATTGACTTATTAAAATATTTTATTTTCCATTTTTATACCATCCACCATAGTATGGAGGGTATATCAAGTTTGCCATTCCGTTTGTAACACCTCAGAACATACATTTCAGACCCTACATATATAGTATATATATTCTTGATCAGCATAAAGTTCTATGTCGATTTAGTAATGACCGTCCGTCCGTCTGTCTGTGGAAATCACTCTAGCTTCCGAATGAATTGAAATAGGTTGATAAAATTTTACTCAGACGTCTGATTGTTCTCCAGGACTTTTGTGTATTGAAAATGTGATATAAAGGCCCACGTTTTAGTATAGCCTCCATATAATAGTACCTCTTTATATTCGGTATTTTGATGACTTTTTCGACATTATTCGCAGGAATTGTTTCAAATTTTGTATTTGCAGTTCGTAACGAATACTACAGCCTGTGTGACAGAAAATTGCATATGCAGGTCCACGTCTTCGTTTTGCCTCCATACAACTGTAGATACCAATTCACCATATTTTTTTGATGTTAACACCATTTTGCCGAAAAATGGCTCGTGAGCTGAACATATCGCAATATTCCATTCGGCAAATATTGAAAAATAAGCTCGGGGTAAAGCCATTGAAAGAAAATAGACTCAAAAGAGGTAAAGAGTTGCTTCGTTTGGCCGAAAGTGGTGAACTGCCGAATATGGTTTTCTGCGATGAGAAAACATTCGTCGTCCAGCAGTTTGTAAATAAGACAAAATGATCGTGCTTACTTGCCAAAAAATGTGCACCTTCGGTTGGCCACCAGAACTCAAGCGCAGGTCATGGTGATGGTGTGGGCCGCCATAGCAGCCGATGGTCGCTTTTCGCTCGTATTAATCGACCGTGGCACAGAATAAATGCCGAATATGATCGCGAAAATATCCTTGAGGGTGTATTAAAGCCTTATGGACTCAAACATTTTGGCCGAAGACCTTGGACATTCCAACAGGACTCAGCACGCACCACCCAAGAATGGTTACAAAATGAGTTTCCTCGTTTCGAGCGCACAATGGCCACCAAAATCTCCGGATACCAATACCAAAGTTTCGATCACCTCTAGCAAGCGCTTCGCGGGAAATGGACCAAAATACCGCTGAACAACATTTGGGCAGCGTGTGACGGCTTCATTGACCGTTTGACGGCCACAATTCGTGCCAAAGGTGACCAATTGGAACAAATCTAAACTTATTGTAAAATTTGATGATATTTCCAAAAGTTTTTGCTTTCATTCAATACAATAAAAAAAATGTTAAAATTATGGCGTTAGACTTTGTTGCACTTTTTTATCTCACCCTGTATATGAGATATGTGATAATGTGAAAATGTTTGTATGTGCGAAATTTGATGAAAACCGGACGCTTATTTTGCGTTTTTGAGCGTTTTATTTTTCAAAATGATGATTCCTTTGAACCCTTTCACAGCAGATATTATGTTAGTAAAAAATAATGGCATGTGTGAAATTGTAGGGGAACCGGACGCTTATTGCGATTTTTTTGATAGTTTTGTTTTTTCAAAACCTTAACCTTTTGTGGGGGAGATACCAGAAGGTCCAATCTCAACCACCTTTATAACAATATTTTGTTGATAAAATATTGAGATGTTCCAAAATTTGAATAAAATCGGATGTTAATTTCGCGTTTTATGAGCTTCATGAATATTCAACATTTTGGCCGTTTGTGGGGGATGTACCAGAAGGAGTGCGCCGATATATTCAATCTTCACACCAGACAATGGGTTAATAAAAATATTGTAATGTATGTAATTTGAAGACAATAGGACTATTACATCACATTATAATTATAAGAGTTGTAATTATTCAAAATATGGACCCTTTGTGGGGGCGGTACTTGATGGAGTGCACCGATATTATCCAGTTTTGCATCTGACGTTGGAGCAAAATCGGTTTATCCCTTCTCTTTCTGTGCAGAAAAATATTTTTTTTTTTAAATTTTAGACCTTTTGTGGTGGAAGGAGTGGACCGATATTGGCCATCTCCGAACTCGATTTAAGTTTCACAAAAAAAAAAAAAATTACGGTGTATCAACCAAATCGGATACTGCCTTCGAGAGATTTTGTGCGCAGCAGCCAGACAGACAGACAGAAAGACGGACGGACATCGCTAGATCGACTCAAAATGTCCTGAAACCGATTTGGTCCAAGGAGCCCTAGGGTCTAAAACCGTTATTTCGACGAGGCACGTTTTGAGCATATCAAATGATATATACCCTCTCTAGCCATATGCTTGAGGGTATAAATATCAATGCGATCTCAAATGAGTCCTTTTTAAAACAATTCTTTTTATTTTGATTTTAAAACTTTTTGCTGTTACTCTCCCCGCCTTGTCCTACTGTCCTTCTCCATTTAATCAGTCATGTAAATTGCTCCCCTTTCCGGATGACCCAACTATTTTAGGTATACTTGTGTAAATGTTGTCACTAAGCCAATTGCCAAGAGGAATCTTTAAATTTAGGTCAACAGAACCCCCTTAAGGTTATTCAATTTAAAAGTGTTTCGACATTTAATAAATGCCATCAAATATTAAGGGCATCCAATTTCAAGTAATTGTCCGTAAACATTATTAAGTTACGTTTAATTTGTGTGTGCCCTTCTCGAAAATGAATATTGGCAATGCGTTGTTCTGGGAATAGTTAGAGACAAATGAGCCACACAGCAATGAATGTAATGCGGTTGAGTTGTACGTCATCATCTTCAATTGCCCTCTCATTATCATGATATTCTTTATCTAGCAATGGAAACGACTGAGTATTTCCGTTTTCTGTATTATTTTGACTTATTTATTTCAGATCCTTTTCATTTTACAATGTTCGCTATTGTTGGTCAATTTGTAGAAATTGCAATTATTTTTTTACTGCAAAGGAAAATTGAAATAAGGATGGTAGTAACATTGGCATTGAATGATTTATACCCTTCATCACAATGCGAATGAATATAATTTGGTTAGTTTATAATATTCAAGCTATAACAGCTTCAAAAGGACTTAAAAAAGATAAAACCAGTAAAGGGTCAAAAGTCGGGCGTGGTCAACTATGTGATACCCTCAATACTATGCATATTTAGTACAGCTATCCTAGAAACCAAAAGTGATCCAAAATGACTACTATTTAGTACTTTTCGAACAATTATAGAAAGCATTTGCAAAAACCACCACCACATACTAACATAGAAGTAAATATCAAATTTCGGATTCCAGATCTATATATTCACTCAATTCGGCACTATTCGTACATATACAGGGTGAGATAAGAAAAACTGCCACACTCAAAAGCCATAATTTTTACATTTTTATACCCTACACCACAAGGTGGCCAGGGTATTGTGTCTTTGTGCATTTGTTTGTAACAGTCAAAAAGGAAACGAGATAGACCCATAGTTCCTTAGAATCACATTCTGAGTCGATTTATGCATGTCCGTCCGTCCGTCTGTCCATGGATTTTTGTAAACAAAGTACAGTTCGCATTTATTGCCATATCCAGATGAAATTTTGCACAAATCATTTGTTTGGCCCGAGGACGAACCCTATTGAAATTGAAGATAATCGGTCAAAATTTAGATATAGCTCCCATATATATCTTCGTCCGATTTGCCTTTTATTGTGCACAATAGTATGGAATATTGCACATGCAACCAAATTAGGCCTAAAAATAAGCATGCCAAATTTGATGGAAATCGGTTCAGATATACCTATAGCTCCCATTTATATTGTTCATCCGATTTGTTATTTTTGTCCTCCGCAGCCATAATATGCACTCTGTAACAACAATATTTGGGGAAATATATCACATGCAGCTCAGAAGTACTTTTGCCAAATTTTAACGAGATCGGTTCAGATTTGGATTTAGCTCCCATATATAACCTCGTCCGATTTACCTTTTATTGTGCACCAAACGTCTAATATTTGTCCAAATGGGATGGAATTTGGCACATACGGCCGAAATTAGTCTAGAAGGTAGTATGCCAAATTTAGTGAAGATCGGTTCAGATATAGTTATAGCTCCCATACATATTATTCATCCGATTTGTTATATTTGTTACCCACAACCGTTATATGCACTCCGTAACAACGATATTCAGGGAAATATATCAAATACAGCTCAGAAATATATTTGCCAAATGTGATCGAGAACGGTTCCGATTTGGATATAGCTCCCATATATATTTTTATCCGATCTCAAATTAATTGTGCCAAATGGGCAATACAAGTCCGAATTTGAAAGATACAAATGCTTCGGCATCTTTAGTACTTTGAACTTTAAATTATAATTATAATCATAGCGTGTATAATTGAAATCTCCCATAAAAACTTTTATTTGTTATTTGGAGCTCTACTAAATTAGCAAAGTGGTGTAGGGTATCATAAAGTCGGCCCCGCCCGACTTTAAGACTTGCTTTACTTGTTTTTTATTTTAATTTAATTTAATGAAAGCAAAAAATGTTGGATAGCACCACATTTTAGAATAGCTTTAGATTTGATCTGATGCCACGGTCGATCAATACGAGCGGAGAGAGACCATCGGCTGTTATCGCAGCCCACATTATCACCATAGCCGGGATTGAGTAATGGTGGCCAACTGAAGGTGCACATTTTCAGCTGACTTTTTTTTGGCAAGTAAACATGATAATTTTGTTTGTTTACAAACTGCTGGACAACGAATGTTTTCTCATCGGAGAAACCCGAATTCGGCAGTTCACCACTTTTGGCCAAGCGAAGTAAATCTTTATCTCTTTTGAGTCTATTTTCTTTCTGTTGCGGTGTAAGCTCTTGCACTATTCGGAATTTCAATGGCTTTACCCCGAGCTCATTTTTTTTAATGAATCATTTAGTCAGTCAGTCACTCTTTTTGTGTCTAAGTCTTTATTCCAAATTTCAGGATTCCAGTCCCATCGATTCACACAAACCCAAATTGTGGCACATTTAGTTCAAATAAGTACGAATTCCCAAAACTTCCTTTATACCTCATACTTCAATTCCTCAATAACATATACATATATATCTCATTTCCCAATTTCAGTATATCAGCCCTATCAGTTTGCCCAAATACAAATTTTACCAAATTTAGTACCATATAGTACACATAAGTACGAAGATCCAAAAATTCCTGCATACCCTAATCCTTCACTTTAATAGTAATCTTAATTTAAAATTTTATGATTCCAGCTCTATCAGTTCAACCAAATCTATAATGTGCTAAATTTAGTACATTTTATTACATATAAGTACAAAATTTCCATATCCCAATCCTACACTCACCTTATTCCTAAATTTCGAGGTACTAACTCCATTGGTTCACCCAAATCCAAATGATACCAGATTTAGTATCATTAAGTACACTTAAGTACAAATTTCCACAATTTCCTACATACCCCAATCCTTCAATGCAAAAGTAATCTTATTTCCATATTTCACTGTAGTCCCTTTAAGAACTAGAATGTACAAAAGAAAATTTCACTTGGAAGGTGGTCTGGGCAAATGCTTTACATTATCCTAAAAATGTATGGGATATTCAGACCCCTTAAGTTGCCTTGTAACAAACAGGTGTTAAATTTGTTCAATTCAATTTTCTATATATTCTTCACGTAATCTTCTTATTATACCCTCCACCTTGGAAAGGAGGGTATATTAACTTTGTCATTCCGTTTGTAACATCCTTAAATATTCGTCTTAGACCCCATAAAGTATATATATTCATAATCAGCATAAAATTCTAAGTCGATTTAACGATGTCCGTCTGTTTGTCTGTCCGTCTGTCTGTCTGTCCGTCTGTCTGTCTGTCTGTTGAAATCACGATACAGCCCACATTATTTGACGTAGAGCTCCAAAATTTAGCAGAGCTATTTGCATTGTGTCTAGGATGGTTGGTATTGAAAATGAGATATATCGGTCCACGTTCTGGTATAGTCCCCATATAACGGTACCTCCCGATATTCGGTATTTTGATGATTTATGCCACGTTTTTTCACGGATTTGTCTTAAAATTGGTATTTGTAGGTCATAGCAGGTCCCTGAGCGTGTGGCAAAACATTGCATGTATGGGTCCAAAATTTGATATAGCCCCCATATAACGGTACCTCCAGATATTCGGTAATTTGATGATTTTTGCAACATTTTTTCACGGATTTGTCTGAAAATCGGTATTTGTTGGTCATAATGGGTTCCAGCTCCGGTGGCGAAACATTGCATGTATGGGTTCATGATTTGGTATAGCCCTCATATAACGGTACCTCCCGATATTCGGTATTTTGATGGTTTTTGCCACATTTTTTCACTGATTTGCCTAAAAATTGGTATTTGTGGGTCATAATGGGTCCTAGTTCGTGTGGCGAAACATTGTAATTATAGGTCCACGTTTTGGTATAGCCCCCATATAACGGGACCTCCCGATATTCGGTAATTTGATGATTTTTGCCACATTTTTTTCACGGATTTGTCTGAAATTTGGTATTTGTTGGTCATAATTGGTTCCAGCTTCGGTGGCGAAACATTGCATGCATGGGTCCATTATTTGATATAGCCCCCATATAAAGGTACCTCCCGATATTCGGTATTTTGATGGTTTTTGCCACATTTTTTCATTGATTTGTCTAAAAATTGGTATTTGTGGGCCATAATGGGTCCTAGTTCGTGTGGCGAAACATTGTAATTATAGGTCCACGTTTTGGTGTAGCCCCCATATTACGGTACCTCCCCATAATCGGCATTTTAATGGTTTTTGCCACATTTCTTCTAATGTTTATTTTACCCTAAGGTGGAGGGTATTAAAAGTTTGGCCCGGCCGAACTTAATGTTTTTTTACTTGTTTTTCATATACATTCGGCCACACATTTCACTAACAATTGACGGCGTCGTGCCTAATCATAAAACTCACCTTAACAATAATTGGCTCAAAAGGATCTTCAATTGGCACCACAAACACTTCATCCCACACGGGATTCAAATCTCGATGTATTGTGCGTGATTTGTGTAAAAGGCGGCCGCCCATTTTAAATTTAACATAAGGATCACTCAGACCTGAAAAGAAAGGGAGAACAGAAACACACCGACACATAATTTACAAACTGTAATCAATGCAAAAGCAACAAAAAGATGAAAAACTTTTTCAAATCAGTCCACTTTGCACTCACCATTTTTATCCATGGCCACTAAATCACTGCCATTCTTGAGATGAACACGTAGTTGAAAGAAGACATATTGACGTAATTGGGCTTCCTTTTTGCGGCGTTTCTCTTCGGCCTTTTCAAAATGTGACAAGGGAAAAAAAAATATTAGAGAATGTGTTGAAAAAAAAAGAAAATGGAAAAATGCAATTATCAACAGTTGGTAAATCTCTAGACACTTATTAGATTCTTAATTAGGCCACACAGTAGTTGGAATACCCACCTGTAAATGTTCAATTTGCCGGGCTGTCAAATGCGAATCATTGGCCCCATAATTGCTGCCCCCATTCTCAGGATGCTCATCGATCCGCCCCTCCATGGAACCACCAAACCTCTGTATGGCCTGGGCCATTCTGGCGGTGGCCTTAAATTCCTTGGCCAAAGGTGAACCTCCTATGGTCTTCGATCTATGCCTTGGCGATTGGGTGACAGAACTACTCTCCGAACTGTAGTCAGCAGCATAATCTGTACTCTCCTCGAGAAAATCATTTGGCGACTTACGCCCCACCCGATCCTTACTTTTCGCTCGTCCCCAACGATGTTTCAGATTATTAAAGAAGCCATGGGTTTTCTGCAACACCCCTCCTCCGCCACTTGAGGATGTGTGTGGCGCAGCGGCACTTTTCGCCCGTTTCGGTGATGTCTGCGGTGACTCCTTGTGACCGTTCAATTCGGAGGCTGATTTACTTAAATGCTGTCCTAAACGTTGGCGGGATTGTGGCGAACCATGTGGTGTGGCCGAGGGTGTTAGGTTTATGGACTCCTTGCTGTTGAATTCTTGACGACGGTATTCCGAACGATACTCTTCGCTTGCCAACACATCGTCACTGTAGTGGATACGTGCTGTAAAATAAAGGAATCGGAAGAAAAAGGACAAAAGGATTTAATGCCATGTTTTGTACATTCATGTCAGTTGTCACGTCACACGTCGTGTCTGTTCGATTTCAAATTAAAACAAATTGACTGAGTGAATGGGTACATCTGTGTTCAACATTTAACATGTTCTGAGGATAAATTGAAAAAGTCCTATGCCAGGATACAGATGTGGGTGGCATTTGTGGGATGTGGTGTGGGTGGCATTTAAATGACAACGTTTGCAAATTTTCGAGTGCGACCCAAGGTTATGGGGAAAAGATGGAACGTGATGTCAAGGTTAGGGCCACTTTAACAGTTGTCTTGGATGCATTTGTTAAAATAGGTGAAAGTGCCTTTAAATTAAATATGACTTAAATTTAATTAAAATATTATTGTAAAAAATTAATATTATATTAATAGAAATAGTTCTTTAGCCTAACATTATTTCATATTGAATCTATTCGATGTTATTTTCAATCAATAAATATTTTGAATCGAAATCGATGAAAAGTTAATAATAAAGGTGATTTGTGAACCGATAAATTCATCAGCTTACTAACCACATGCGACCAAAAGGAATGATTTGCGCAGAAAGGCCTTTAGTTTTCTTAAACATTTAAAAAAAATCGTGAAAAGATCTTACAAAGTTTACGATTTTCGGTCATAAGGTCCTTGAAATAATAAATATAATAAATTCCACGATTTTAGGAATATTATATGTTCTTATTTTTTTAAATCAAATTTTATAAGCCAGAAGGTACATGCCAGATATTATGAAAAATCCTGGCTACATAAATAGCTAGAAACATTTTTCAAAAATACCCACTTTATATAGCTTGAAGGTCTTTGAGAAATACTTTTGAAGAAACAACATTTTCATTATATCCACGACTTATATAGGCTAAAGGTCCTTCGAAATAGTTTTGAAAAAATTAACGAAGTCCAGAATTTTTACCCATGATTTATGTAGCCAGGAGCCCACTTAGAAATATGTTTCAAAAAATCCACAATTTATATAGCCAGGAGGTCCTTAAGAAAATTTGTTGACAAATCCCCTAGGTCTATGAGAAAAATACTTCGAAAAATCGATTCGTCTTTCAGACATTTTTTTCAAAAAATCGTCAACTTATGTAGCCAAGAAGCCCTCGAGAAATACTTTAAAAAATCCACGATTGGTGTAGTCGGAAGGTATTTGAGGACAAAATATTTGAAATATCCATAATTAATTTAGCTAGATGGATCTTAGAAAATATTTTAAAATTTACCCGTGATCCTTCATTAAACAATTGTGACATATTTTCGGAAAATTCACGACTTATATATCCAGGATGTTCTTGAAAGATATTTTTGAAAAAATCCATGATTTATATAGAGAATATTTTAGTAAATTTATTTTAAATATTGAATAGTATTTTTAAAAACTTCATAATATAAGAAGTCAGGTGGTACTTGCGAATAATTTTTTGTAGCCAGGAGGTCCTTGAGAAATATTTTTTTTAATCCACGTTTCTGAAGATCTTTGTACGTGATATTTTATAAATTTAAGACTCTTGGCAAGCCCTATATTTGTACCATGCAACACTATGTGTAGGAGGTATTATATGTTTTATTGGGCCAAAAATTATGCAAACCCTCGAAATATTGGTCTGCGACATAGAGAACCATATATTGAACTTCCTATCGCACCGAGCTGAGTCGATCTAGCTATGTGTGTCTGTCCGTCTGCCCATGTTAAATTATAACCAGGCTACAGACCGCAAATATGGTCCTCACGAAATTAAAAATGGAGGTGGGGTTTGGGTCAGAATAGAAGCCTATTGCTTTTGGAGATGATTTGGGAGTTAAAATGGATCAAAAACAGAAAAAATTCCTGATTTTGCTGTTGCTTGGCGATAGGGCTAAGCAAAAACCTACCAATTTGGAGGTCATCGGGCAATATTTAGCGGGTAAAATAAACCGCGAAAATTTTTAATCCCGGCCAAATCACAAATCACTTCTGATCGTTACAGTGATGCTGATAGCCAAGAAATTGAATATACAGGGTGAGATAAAATAACTGCAACAAAGTCAAACGCCATAATACATTTACATTTTTTTAACTTTATCGAATGAATGCAAAAATGTCGGAAATAACATTAAATTTAGATTTGTTCGAATTGGTCATCTTTGGCACGAATTATGGCCTTCAAACGGCCAATGAAACCGTCACACGCTGCTCGGATGTTGCTCTGCGGTATTTTGGCCTATTCCCGAAGCGCTTGCTTGAGATGATCAACACTTCGGTATTTTTAAGTACCAACCTTGCTTTCCAAAATGCTCCAGACACAATAGTCCAACTGATTAGTCTCCTGAGTTTTTGGTGGTCATTGTGCGCAAGAAATGAAGCGAGGAAGCTCATTTTGTAACCATTATTGGTTGGCGCGTGCTGAGTGCGATGGTGCTGAGTCCTGTTGGATTGTCTAAGGTCTGCGGCCAAAATGTTTGCATGCCAAGGCTTAAATACACCCTCCAGAATATTTTCGCGATAATATTCGGCATTTATTCTGATGCCACGGTCTAATACAACGAGGAGAGAGCGACCATCGGCTGTTATGGCGGCCCACTCAATCACCATGGCCGGCGCTTGAGTTCTGGTGGCCAACCGATGGTGCACATTTTCAGCTGACCTCTTTGGCAAGTAAACACGATCATTTTTTTTTTTCTACAAGCTGCTGGACAACGAATGTGTTCTCATCGGAGAAACCCAAATGCGGCAGTTCACCTCATTCTGCCAAGCGAATCAACTCTTTAGCTCTTTTGAGTCTATTTTCTTTCTGTTGCGGCGTAAGTTCTTCCACTTTTTAGAATTTCAATGACTTTACTCCAAGCTCATTTTTCAATATTTGCCGAATGGAATATTGCGATATGTTCAGCTCACGAGCCATTTTCGGGTACTGGACGCGAGTTTCGATCAAGTCGCTTCTTAACTTTTCGAACCATATCTGCTGATGTTGCTGTTTTCTTCCGTCCACTTCCTTGACGTCGGGCTACGCCACCAGTACCAGGGCATAATCAGCTTACTTCCACACACACTGAGAACTGCGACAGGGTGCATTCTCATGATACCAGTGGACCATCTACATGAGAAGGCGAAAGGCCTTCCCTTAAGTCAGCATAATCATATGCTTTCGTTGTGGTACCTGCTTGGGTGTTACCGCGAGTATCATCCCAACCATCATATGGTGGATAAATCTCCCCACCCAGGCATGTCAGGAAGGACATACACGATATAGAGAGGGAGGTCCAACGCTATAAGAGAGAACCTCTAGATCAAGAAGCCTTTCAGGCAGTTCTGAGTGGCATTCATACCGATGCAGTCGCGGATGCTATCAGCAGATAAGCCGTCCTCGAAGTCCATCCCCCTATTCATTGCTGCCGAAGGACGCCAGCCTAGACAAACCAGGGTAGTTTTGGCTCAATTACGTTCAGGATCGTGTAGTCGTCTCAAGACGTTTTGGACATGAATTTATGAAGATGTGCGTGACGTCTGCCCGGTGTGCACCTCTTTAATTGCACAGCCAAACCTACCCAACTCACTCCAAAAGATCTCTGGCTACAGCCCATTAAAATAGCCGAATTTCTAAGCCTGGAGCTGGAAGGCAAACACTTACATGTACTACTGCTTCAACAACAACAACCAGTATCACGGTAACTAGCGATGGTATGAGATACAAAAGATTTATTCACATTTAAATCTAACGATAGCCACTTTCGATTTTCCAGCCTAATATAAAGAAATCATACTATCACGCTTGAATTTCATCACGAATAACTTTTTTTCCGGAAAAGTCTCACAAAAATGCTTTTGTTTAAAAATTACAGCAATCTGAAGTTGGTTACAGTTTTTTCATCTCACGCTGTACATATTTAATTATTAATAGAGGTGGCAAAAAATGCTCCTAAAGAAGACTGTTTAATACCAGCTAAAACTGCCCATCTCCTGACATAGAGTTTATTTTTGAGACACTGTATTTTCCAATAAAGCAGATGTGGAATTTAAAAAACGTGAAAAAGAAAAATTAAATTCCTTTATATACCCTACACCACAAGGTGGTCAGGGTATTATGTCTTTGTGCATTTGTTTGTAACAGGCAGAAGGAAACGAGATAGACCCATAGTTCCTTTTGATGATCTGCATAGAATCACATTCTGAGTCGATTTATGCATGTCCGTCCGTCTGTCCATGTATTTTTGAAAACAAAGTACAGTTCGCATTTATTGCCCTATCCAGATGAAATTTTGCACAAATCATTTGTTTGGCCCAAGGACGAACCCTATTGAAATTGGAGATAATCGGTCAAAATTTCATATAGCTCCCATATATATCTTCGTCCGATTTGTCTTTTATTGTGCACCAAACGTGTACTATCAGGCCGAATTGTGTGGAATTTTGCACATACAACCAAATAAGGCCTGCAAATAAGTATGTCAAATTTTATTTTTTATTCGAAATCGGTTCAGATATAGCTATAGCTCCCGTAGATATTGTTAATCCGATTTGTTATTTTTGTCTTTCGCAGCCGTAATATGCACTCTGTAACAACAATATTTTGGGAAATATATCAAATACAGCCCAGAAATATATGTACCAAATTTTATCGAGATCGGTTTAGATTTTGATATAGCTCCCATATATAACTTCGTCCGATTTACCTTTTATTGTGCACCAAACGTCTAATATTTGTCCGAATGGGATGGAATTTGGCACTTACAACCGAATTGAGTCTAGAAGCTAGTATATCAAATTTGGTGAAGATCGGTTCATATATAGCTATAGCTCTCATATATCCGATTGTCATCCGATTTGTTGTACTTGTTATTAACAGCTGTAATATGCACTCCGTAACGACGATATTCAGGGAAATATATGAAATACAGCTCAGAAATATCTTTGCCGAATTTTATCGAGATCGGTTCCGATTTGGATACAGCTCCCATATATATCTTTA